CCTAATTTGGGTACTAGGATGATAGGCACTTCCTTTTAAGGAGAGAAGTTTTACTCTATTGGCAATGCAACTTTAATTAGGTGTATCAACATTTTAGGCTCAACCTAGTGGTAATAAGGTATAAGGGGCAGAACGTAAGGGTATGGTTGGGATAAGCATAACTTGATTCAATTGTTATTTAATGTGAATTGTTTTGATTATGGAAAACTAGAATTGGTTGGTCTTGCTTGCAAATACTAAGAAATATTATGATGTTGAAGAAATAAAGAGATTCATGGTTGAAAATCAAGTTAGGAAAATGGTGATTGGAGAAGGTGGTAGGCTTTAGATCCTAAATGGCCATGTTCTTTTAAAACCATAAAAAATAGGAATCTAGTTTTGTAAGTATGTAACATCCCAAATTCTTATCATTTGAGTTAATTATACTTTAAGGGAGTTTATTGGTATTTGTATACATTGGAAAATGATTTTATAATGAATTAGGTCTTGGAAGAAGATAAAAAAATAAGCTTCCTTTGTAATTATAGGTTTTCAAAGGGAAAATGATAATATTTTTGATTAATTATTTTTGTATTAGAAAGTAGACACCTCAAGCTTTCTATAGAGTCCCAATTTATAATTTTTAAAATTGTGTAGAATTAATTATTAATTTTTGAAATTGGGTTAGTGAAACTATACTATTGGCTGCAGTGAATGATGTATTTTTAGATTTAAATTTTCTGTCACAAAACAAAATGGAAGAGGTGAATTTTTGAGAGGATTGGGGCAATTTTGGAAAGCTCTGCTTGGGTTTCATGAAGGATATGCATTAAGCACATTTTTGGCCTCTAATCACTAAGGTAATATTCCGCAATCCCTTTTCTACTTTATAAACCCCTCTTTAAGCTAGTTTTTTGTAGACATCATATTTGAGTTTTAGTTTTTGAGGATGCGCAACCCTTAGATCTAAATTATAAGGCCTTTTTAAAATTAAATAAGTGTTATTTAGGTGGTTTTAATGATAGTTATCATAAAGAGATGCTTAGATTTGAAATCCTAGAGTTGTTTTGCAATAGATTAAGCTAATGAGGTTAGCTAATAGTGTTTATTAGGTTTAATGAAGGTTAAATAAGTTATTGGAGCTAAGTTTTGAGGTTGTTCTTGCTTAATCACGCTTAATGAGGGTGTAAATCCTTAACTATGATTAAGGTTAATTAAGAAATATTAGTGATTAATGTTATATATTAATTATTAATTATAGATTGATTGCTTCGGACTTCTTTGGGCTTGTTGGAAAGCTCTTTTGAAATTCAAATTATACTCTAAAAGTGGTTACCAAGAGTAGAGGTAACTAGAAGTGAAATGCTTATATATAATTCTTGCTTACAATTATGAGTTGTATGTTATTGTTTATGATGAAAATGATGACGTGGATATTCAAGCATGTTGGTAATGATTATTGAACATTAAATGATATGCAGTTATCAGGTTATTGATAATGAAATGGAATGATTGATTTGGTTTGGGTTGTGTGGTTATTAAGCATGACATGATGATAACTTTATGATTATTGAAATCTTATTTAGTATTGATTATGGCATGTGAATTAATGAGCATGTGTATGAGAATGTAGATATATGAGTAAGTGATTGAATATTTATGACACGATTCTAAGAATTGAGTATGAACACATGACTTGATAGGGTGATATTATAAAAAAAAGTTGTTAGAGTATATGTTGACAATATATCAATGAGCATGAGCTTATATATGGGTATGAAAATTTAATGTTGGTTTATTTATTCTGGGCCTGATAGTATGTGCTTGATTATGAAATAAGTAAATCAAATTTGTGACTATAACGTGTGATTGAGTAATGAGCATGTTACAAGATCATGGATGGGTAGGAGTTTACTCGAATGAGTAAGGGCGTTATAAAAAATTCACATGGTGTAGCCACCATTGAGGTTTGTGCACGGTAGTTGGCATATTTGATTACAGTGCGATTGTATCCATTATCTCTTAAGGACGGTATATGTGAGCATGCTTGCCTAGGATCATTGGTTTCCTATGAGGGACAATATGGGTTATGGCAACTATAAGATCCTAGTATTAGAGAAAGGGGAGTGCATGGCCTAATAGTAGGAAAGGGGTACCTTGGTTGGGTAACCCTCCACAATTAAAGAGCAGGTCTAATCTGGTCACATGGGTTGGTCTTATATAATTTGATAGTCCATGGATTCAATCAGAAGATATAAGTAGAAGAATAAGGATGGAATGCATTGATCACGTATAATTATCATCATTGCATTATATGCCTTGTGATTAATGATTAATAGTCTCATGATGCATGCTGAATATTAAAAGCTTGTTAATTGTGATTTCTTGCCTTTATGTGCTTATATTTGCCACACTATTTATGTACTTAAATTTATGAGCTTTGATTATTAAGATTGTATAATCTCACTCTCGTTGTTTAATACTTTCTAGGAAATACTAAGTATGAGGCTAAGGAGGAAGCATTGGAGACTAGAGATGCTTAACTTCATCAGTTAAGTCTCTAGCTCTTTAGTTTGTATAATGGATACTCATTATTGCTAATATTATGGGTTTAAGTGTTAAACTATATATTGCATTTGCATGAGCCTAAATGTTGATTTGGGCAATCCTTGTTGTGACTTTCCTATTATTTTATGATGGGAGCCAATCTGAAAAGTGTGTGATTTAAGATTAATGATTAAATTTTTGATGCTTGTGGAGTCTTAGTATTCTTATTTATAAATGTGGTTTATGTATGGTTGTTATCTTAGTTAATGACTAAGGGTTGGATGATGGCATATGGTTGATTTGAGAATATGGTAATATGTAAATGCACAAAGTCTCAATTGTCCAAAGTCCCCATTTGGTACCATATTGAGGCATAATCAGAGTCAATAGCTATAATATTTAATTGTCTATGTGTGAACACTTAGATCACTTTAATTGAAGGTTTGAGTTGAAAACTACATGCTCCAGATGTTAGATTATTTTTGTTGTCAAATTTGTGTTATTAACTCATGTACGTCATGATAGAATGTTTAATTGGTTGTGGTGGATGTGATTGCTTGTCTTAGTCATGACAAACTATACCATGGCCTTTATGTCACAAGCCACAATGGATAAGTCTTGATTTACTGAAATATCTTTTTTACCCTTATTTAACTTGTTTTATGCTAAAAGTTTTCCTTGTACTTGTATAACTATTGATAATCTAATTTTAAGTGTTTTAAAGGGTCTTTAAATTCTTGTTTTTAAATTTGAATCATTTTTGAGATACCATTTTATTCAAAGGTATTTTACAAATATTTTTAGAGGTTGAAATAGCTATGGTTGATTCTATCTACCATACTTATCTTGTGTAATCAAAGTACTTGGTCTAAACTGTTGAGGTTAATGATAGAGGTTAATTGATAAGCATGATGGCTTCCTCAATAAAGTATCTATAAAGCTACTCTCTAAGTCATGAAGGAAGAAAGGAGGAACAAGAAAGGAGTGACGACTTGCTTCATAAAAGGAAGGAAAGGAGTATGACTCATGGACATTGATGGAGTAGAGAGAGAGAGGGAGAGAGAAGGAAGCATAATAGAGAAAAGAGATAAAAGAGAGGCCATGTCAACCCTGTTAGTCAAACAATAACATTTAATGGGCAATATTAATGGCGGGGTAATATTATATTTTTTTAAAAATTTTGTCGCAATATTACTCGAATTAAAAGTTTAGGATATTCAATTTTTTTTGTAAAAAAGTTTTAAGACATTCTTACCTTTTAACCTGAAAATGAATCATAAACATTGATTTAAATAATTTCAAGTTCAAGATTGTCAATTTTAAATAAGATATTAAGATTTTAAATGTAATTAATAAAATTATTGTTTACAATTGTTTTAATTGATATTGATAACTCATTTATCAATTTTTTTAAATAATTAATCTTCATTAATTCAATATTTTTGTTACTTATTCTTGGTATTAAAGTTTGGTGCAAATATATAGTTCCCATTGCTATTATAAGGTACCCTAAAAAAAGATTCATTGTTCTTTAATATAAGGTATAAGAAGGGTTATTTATTATTATCTTTCAATTTTATTCTTGTTATCAAATTAATTTTATAGCTAATTGAATATTATGTATATCTCTCTTTTATTTTTAATAGGAATAGAGTTAAAAAAAATATTTCATTCTAAGATATATTTGATAAGTTAACTGTTATTTTTTAATTTTAGTGAAACAGTTGAAAATGTTATCTAAGTAAAAACTTGATGAGTGTGGTGAAAATTTTTATAAAATTAATATATAAAAAATTTTTAAACATAATTACTACTTATTTATATCCTATAAAGTGGTAATAAATGTGCAAAATTCATTCAACTAATTGTATATGTTTTGTGAAAGAAATAGGTATAATAATTTTTTTGAACAAAAAAGAGGATGTGTATAATAAGACAACACTTATTTTCTTGTATATTTAAGAATTATGGAAATCAAATAATGAGTGTCTATATATCAAAAAAGAAAAAATTGAAAGGACCAATAAGAGCGCCACTTCCACGTTTGACATACCCCACCACGACCACGACGGCGCTTGGATGTTGAAACCGATAAAATTGAAGTCATCTTCGATCAAGACACCATTCTTGCACAATAAGGAAGGAAGTAAACCTCGCAAATTTCACTTCTGGTACCTCTCTCACCCCCATCTCTTTGTTTTTCTTTACCTTTTCATTCTTCCCGAACAATACAAGTTTCTCAGATTGGATCGGCCTGGGATTGTTTTGGCTTTCTTGAAATTTTTCTTGGTCCATTCTCAATTTGGAATTTGCTTTCTCTGCATTCCCGAGAAAATGCGCAACCAGAGAGGAAACGGGATGCTGAATTTGTTGCTCTGAACATCTGGACTAGGAGCGAGCGTTGTCCGTTGCACAAGCTCATTGTAGCTTGAGCCGCTTCGAAAAATTGCAGTTATATTTTTGTGAATTGAAGTAGTTGTGCTTTATTCGTTAAAAAAAAAAAAGAAGTAGTTGTGCTGTAGTTGCTTCCCTTCTACTCATCATTACTTTGGCTTCTGACCTGAATTACGGCTTTATTCATACATAGAAATTAAGATTGTGACTATCGGATGAAGGGTTTTTCCCTATTGGTTCGGATGAATATTCCTTTTCTTTTCCTTTATTTTTGATTGAATTCTGGATTGACAGCTTGATTAGTCTTTGTTATATCCCGGAGTGCGTGAATTTTCCTTTCTCTTCTTTTGTTTAGTGCTATCTGGAAATCCCCTCTTCAAGTGTTGGAAGCGAGTAGAGATTGGAGGGGATTTTCTGTGTGCGGAAGAGATGAATTTCTTTCAACTCTTAAATTTCTAATTTTTCTCATTTTCTTGACTTTCTCTGGCTTTATTTTCTTAATTTAGAAGTTTGAACCGACAGATACTAATACATACAAGGAAGCTAGGTGGTCTTTCAGTATCTAGTTATGCACCTCTATCTAATATCCATACGTGAACTACCCTAATTTAGATACATGACTATGACAACCTTTGTGCATAATCAAATTACTAATCCCAACCGATCGAATCAATTAGAAAATGGTGCTGTTAGCGGTTTTTGAGTTAAAACTTGCCACTTGCAAAGTTGCGCTTGTTGCGGGTTTTGCTCTATTCCTGAATTATTCATTGGAAATTTCTAATATGGTGACTGTTATTTGGGGTTTTTTTCCTTCTAATTTTATTTTATGATATTTTTTAATTTAATTATGGATTTACAGCTTGGCTAAGTCTTTAATCGGTGGAGCTATTTAGAGATGAGTCAGCGGGGTTTAATATATAGCTTTGTTGCTAAAGGGACTATTGTGTTAGCGGAACACACACCATATACAGGAAATTTCAGTACGATTGCTGTTCAATGCCTGCAGAAGCTACCGTCCGACAGCAGCAAGTACACATTCTCATGTGATGGGCATACATTTAACTTCCTCATAGACAATGGGTTTGGTATTGTCTATTCTTAGCATTCTTATGTATTACTGGTGTTGATTGGTTTACATGTCATTTTCTGAAGAGTTTCTCTGCTATGTAGTTTTCCTTGTGGTTGCGGATGAATCAGTTGGAAGGAGTGTGCCTTTCATATTTCTTGAACGAGTGAAGGATGACTTTAACCAGATTTATGGTTCAAGTATTACGAGTGGTGATTCTGGTCCACTTGCTGATGAAGATGACTTATTCGAAGACAAATTTGGCATTGCATACAATTTAGACAGAGAATTTGGGTATGTATATATGGTTGGTTTTCTTCATAGCTGTTTGGCTTTTTGAACTTTTGTATTTATTCTTTTGTGCAGGCCAAAGCTGAAGGAGCACATGCAATATTGCATGAAACATCCTGAGGAAATAAGTAAACTATCAAAAGTAAAGGCTCAAATAACTGAGGTCAAGGGGATAATGATGGACAATATTGAGAAGGTACACGTTTCTTGGACTGTTGAAGGGATGATCAAAATGTTTATGCTTTATAGTTACACGCAATGTCTACCTGTTCAGTATGTTCCTGAAAAATTTAAGGGTGTGGGAAGGTTTTCAAGTATGTTGATATTTATGACTGTGAGACTTGGATAATATTTAGGAGAAGAATATTTATGATTGATATCTATATAAAACATGAATATTTATGTTGATATTTATGATTGATATTATTCAAGTTATTTGAATAATATTTATGATTGTGAGACTTGGATAAGTTTTATATAGACATGTCTTAAACTCTCAAAAACTGTGTGTCTGAGGATTTCAATATTCATTGGGGAAGGGGATAGGTATTCAGTTTGCTGCTCACTAGGCTATTAGTCTGGGGATGAGAAGAAGAAAAATATTTTTCTCAAGGCCTGTGGATGAAGACTATGATACCCTACCCATATCTTACCAACGATCAACCCTAACATGTTGTTAGTGTTAAGTACCTTTTATATAATAGATGCTAGTCTAAAAGATGGTTCTGTGCAATATGGTTGTCTCAAGCAGTGTCTGTTGCCCAAGGATGTGTTTGTTAGTGAAATATGTTTGCCTCATTCATAATAATATGAAATAGTTAGGATATAACAAGAGACTTTTTATCGACCAATTATAGCACTTTTGTAAGAGGAAATTAGAAATGATGATGATATCTGTCATGGTGAAGTGAATTCAGAGCGTGGAGTGTTTACTGGAGCATTAATAGTTCTCTGCTAGACCTGCTTTGAAGTTCCCTCAACATAACGAGCTCAAATCCTGGGTACACCAAAATGTGGTCAGATGTTCTCGGACCCAGGAAAACGAGGAAGACAGTTATTGTTGTCTTCTATTTTTCACTCAAAAATTACTATCCACATACTCCTTTTCTTACAAGCACTGTAACACATGTTTGCACCTGCCTCAATGTGCACATACACATACTTTACATCTATGTCCATTACAAGTGTTAGCTTAGGCTCTTCTCTAAACCAAACTATTTTTAAAAAGGTTTTGATCATTAATACAAGACAACTCAAGTTGTTGGTTCTTGATATTGAGATTGACATCATAAAAAATGTTTCTATCTGCTTCAAGTCTTTGTTGACTCGAGCTTAGTCTCTCTTATGTTGCTCTGTAAAGCAAGGCATGAAGTTGTCGCTCATAAGGAGCACTCAAGTAAAAGCCTCTGCGTTACCTGATTGCAGGTTTTGGATCGTGGCGAGAAGATTGAACTTCTGGTTGATAAAACAGAAAGCTTACAGTTCCAGGTATCTATTCCTCCTTGTTTGTTCATACTAGTGCAGAACGAAGATAGTGACACTTGAACTAATGTTTGGTAGATGGAAAAAAATATTTTGTAGAATGGAAATAAGAAATGTAATTTAAAAAAAAAAGGAGATAGGTGCAATCCTCATTTCTTTTTTAGAAAGCATTTTTCTATTTACCAAACATTGCAGAAATGTCTACCATATTCCCGCTTATATAATCAGGCCTTTGTATTAGACATGACATGATACTTAGATTACACAAAGATGCTTCAAATTCTACTGGCTTATAGCATCCATGCCCATTTGATGTCCCATATTCATATCTATGCATTTTAATTTGCTAATGATAATGTGATTTTGCGTGTTTCCTCCCAAATTTAGGCTGACAGTTTCCAGAGGCAAGGCAGGCATCTAAGGCGGAAGATGTGGCTGCAGAATCTCCAAATGAAGCTAATGGTGGGAGGTGCAGTCCTTACCCTGGTTATAATATTGTGGCTTATTGCTTGCAAGGGTTTCAAATGTTGACAGGTTTAATTTAAGCAAGCCTGTATTAACACGTATATAACACAAATGGATGTACAAGATGAAATTATGTTTGCACGTATAGCTTGACACTGGAACGTATAATGTCACTACCTTAGTCTGTAAAATAATTACGTGGAAAACTGCTAGTTATCAAGTTCCGGATCAGTTCTTAATCTGAATGGTTGATAGTAGTTAATGATTATGGTGATAGCTAGAAGTAATTTACAATAGTCAAATGTAATGTGTATTAAAATTCAAAAAAGAAAACAACTTGAGATATTTATAATTTTTTTGTTTTTAAAAATAAAATATGAGAATAGTTTTGAAAACATTTAAATTGAAAATTGATAGCCTTATTTAAATAAATCATCATTCCTATCTTCTTACTGCGTGACTCTTCTCTCCCTGTCATTCACACTTCTCTGTTAGTCTGTGACTCAATTTTAGTTCATTTTATTTTTATTTTTTATCAATCTATTCCATTTCTTTGTATGGTTTCTTAAGAGAAAGACTTCATCACGATGGAGAAATTTAGCAGTGTCAATGGTGCAAAAGCAAAAATAAGCATAAGTTATGCTGTGACCGAGCATGGAAAACTCAGGTTAACTTATTTGATTAAACTAGTAAACTATTAATATGATGTCTTGATTGATTTAATAAAATATTTTATGATTGATTTAATAAAATATTTTATTTATAATTAATTTAATTATGATTCATTTATAATTTTAATCGACAACCTCGAGATAGTATGGTTTAGTAATCAATCCGGGTATCTCGAGGCGTACATACCGCAGTAACGTGGCTTTCTATGTTAAAGACAGTTCATATCGACGAAAGATTAATTGGAATAAAACATGAAATAATAATTATGAAAATGAGAAGGGAATCGAGTATGGGACCCACGGCGTTTTGTGTGCTCTCGAGTCCCAAACATAAAATATTTCTCTCCAAGGAATCTCCGTGACTTCTGGCAGAAAGTCCAAAACTGGTACTCCATCCGTTTCAAACGTAATTTGAAACAACATTGTACACCAATAGTAAATAAAGTTGAATAATTACACTTTATAATTTTCTTTTTTAAATCATACTACAAACTTTTAAAAATATTTATACATGTTTAATCATTACATTATAATTATTTTAATTTATTTTTCAGTTGAAAAATAAAATTGTAAAAGTATTATTAATAAAATTTTTTTATCAAATTATCTTAGATTTTATAATAACAAAATATTTTTAAAATTGACTTGAGAAAATTTGAGATAAGTTTTTGCATATAGAGCATAAAATTACTTTATAAATTTACTTTTCAAAATAAAACTGTAAACTTATAAAAATAATTTCACATGATTAATTATTACATTATAATATTATTTTAATTTTTTATTTACTTAAAAAATAATCTTAAAATATATTATTAATGAATTAAAATAAATAAATATTTTTAAAATTATTTTATAATTTGGGATGTAGAGAATAATAATGTAATATATTGACTAAAAATTGCATATGCAGAACTCTAGATCTAAACTATCTAAAGCAAAACTCACTACAGCAGAATTCGCGAAAGAGGTCAGATATTTGATGGTATTTTGCCCACCGAATCACCGGACCCCACATTTACTCAGTCACTCATTACTATTCTATGAATCACCATTTTGGAATGCGAATAACAACCACGGGCTAAATAATTTTGATATAATTAATTGCTCTATAAATCAAATAATTTTGATATTCTTCCATAAGACTAAATGAATTAAATATAATTAAAATTTATTATAAAAAAAAATAAAACTAGCCTTTATAGACTCGCACTCTTTTAACAAGTACCTATTTAAAAAATAAAATTCCATTTTTATTTTAACAGCAATTAATTTTTTATTAATAACTTTAAAAAATTAACTTGATAATGGAGAGAATAAGTATTGTAATTTAGTGAATAAGTCTTAATTCAAGAAAAAAATGTTATTTTCATTCTAACAATAATAAATTTTTTTATTAACAACTCCAAAAAATTAATCTGATAATGGAGAGGAATAAACGTTGTAATTTAGTAAACAAGTATTTATTCAAAAAAAGTCCTATTTTATTGTAAAAACAATTAATTTCTTCACTAACAATTCCAAAATATTCATTTGGTAGAGATGAATTATTAATTTGGTGAACAAGTCTTCATTAAAAAAAAGTAAATTTTATTTTTATCTTAATAAACAATTAATTCCCTGCCACAACAAATATATATAAGTGGTGATTTTATTTTTTTATAATAAATTTTAATTACATACTACTCTTTTGATTTATTTATAAGTCACTTTCAACATATTTTACTAATATCAAAAAAAACTTTAAAACTCATTAAATTTATATTAAATTTAATAAGTTCTTAACTTTGCTCTATTAAATACACATATTTTAATATATATTTTCTTTCTTCAACATTTAATGGAAGATAAAAGCGAATTTTGTGATAAAAATTAAATGACATAATTTATAAATAAAATTAAAATTTTTTTTCTCCCTATCCTATAAATAAAATCAGAGGAGTATAAGTCTTTTGATGCTACACAGTAATATTAAAGTTATTATTATTATTATTATTTTGCCAACAATGTTAAAGATATTGATCAGGTAAAACATTTAATTGGGTCAAGTGGTCTTGATTGTGATTTCTCTCTTTTGGAATCCTAAGGACCCATATTCCGAGATGGGTGCTTGCGTTGTGTCATGTGTGAGTGTGACCTTTCTTTTGTTTCGTTCGTTCCTTCGTCCATATAAGCAGCGCTTGTTGAGTGTTCTTCTTTCCTTCTCACACAATAACGCAAATTTAACGCCATCAACAACACTCTCCAGTATCACCATTCAAGTTTCTGGTAGTTTCCTCTCACCCTCTCCTTCTCTCTTCCTATCTGCATTTCATCGTTCTGTCTTCTTCTTCTTGTATCTGTTTTTCAAAGATTGCATCTCTATGTAACTAATGCATGTGAGTTTGCCGACCTGATTGATTTCTTCGATGAGATGTGTTGGCTTTCTTTCTGAATCAAGGACGAACGATTATGGTTTTTATTTGTAATGTGACTCGGTTTTCTTGCTTTAATGATTAATCCAGCGAATGAATTCGGAGCAGCTTTGATTTCATTGCCGGGAGGAAATTCGTTGATTTTAATCTCCACGACATCTGAGAAAATGCTGACATTTATCCTCTTTCGTTTCCTTCGTTTTGTGTTTGATTTTTCCATACGACACGTATGCCTTTATTATACTTGCCAATCAGATGTTAACCGTATTTCTTGAAAATAAGAAACGTATTTCATGTCCCTTTTCCCCCCCTCGATATCTTTCAAGGCACTTGACTAAATGATTGCGTGAGAAATCTGCTATTTTTTAAAAAGATTAATTTAAGCTGAGTCATCGGTATTGCTGTTGGTTTTGTCACTCAGAACCTGTTTCGTTTCAATTTTTTTTTTTAACCTTTCACCAATTTTCTTGATACTCTAAAGATTCCTATTCCATTATTGGGAGAGTCGTATACGCTTTTTCTTTTACAGAACCCTGGATCAGTATAAGAGTATAAGAATATCTCTTAGCGTTACAGAGATGCTATTGGAATATGTGTTCTCTTTTTCTCTCGCCCTCTTTTGTCTTCACGAGGTGCATTGCCTTCTCATGTCTGTTTCTATTTCTTTTGGATTTTATTCTAATGCTTTGATTACATTGGAAGGACATGTATAGTATTATCAGTCTTCTATATCAATGTGTGCGTGTGTATCGCTAACAGATGTAATAAAACGCATCGCTGCTGCTTTTTTTTTTTTTTCTCTTGTTTTGTTTGTAGTTTTATTGCAGACAGCTGCTACCTTCTCATTGTCCGTGACTGTTATATTGTAATTATAAGCTCATTGATATGGTCTATGGCTTTCTGCTTCTTTTGCTTTTGTAATGAACAAAATACAAATTGCAGTATGGTCTAAAAAGTTTTTTACTTCTATTTGCATAGATTATTCCATACTGGTTTCCGTGAACTGCTGAGACTTTGAATATTTTACTCTTTTCTACCTTGTTTTCATCCCCTTGTAAGGTTTTCCGGCATCTTTGTTTTGTTTAAAACTGGGTGTAGTTACTTGGTTAGGACTTTGCCATCTGATTCTTGTAGACTTATGACACAAGAAGAAACATTTTAGATCTAAAGGGTAAATGATTATGATGCGAGGCAGAGTTGGAAAAATGTTCACATATTATCTTTTAAGAACTTAAGAGCGAGCATCCTAAGCACTTGATGCACTTGATGTACCAAAGTTATGTGACATTGCTCATGTTTGGCTCGAAGTTCTTAACATAGATTATGACAAATTTTACATGGAGAATTTTTGAAAAAGAGTCGATGACTCTGATTTTGTGGTATATGGGGAATTTTTTGAGTGACTGTGATCGTGCTAAAGAAATATGCACGTGTTGCTGTTTTGCATGTGAACTCGAAAGTCACGCCTGCGAAGAACTTGACCTTTGTTTCGTTCTTTTATTTGAAGGAAAAGCCTCGATAAAATATGTGGCCAGTAAATGATCATGAGTGCCACAAACTTGTGTTGGACTTCCATGGAAGGTTGGAAAATAGGTCTTTGCCATACTACAGTGGGCCCTCCTGTAAAATTCATCACTGTATTTAGTTTTGTATGTCAGCTGGTTAGAGTCACACATTTAGCAAACCTGTGAATCAGAAATCCCTGGCCTTACATGCGACATATCAACCTATTTCTGAAACTCTAATATAGTGTTCTAACTCGGTGTAACATCCTCCATGTTGGTTTCCAAATCAATTCTGGGAGCACCCTTTCAAATAGAGGAAAAATGATACTAGCTACGTGTCATGAAGTTAAATTGTGTCTGCAGGGCATATGAACTCTAAATGTGTTAATTTTGTTCTGGTTATTTTCCCGTGAGCTTAGGGGAATATTATAATATGTTGATTATTTCCCCCCACACCCATTTGTCCCTTCATTTTTGGGTTTAACTGAAGGGTCATAGGCCTACAAACTTGGCAGGACCACTTCTTTGTTTGCATGTGATTTCCTGTCATGCCATGGCAGACACAGGACCACCTTCAGATTCTGGAATATTGTTTTCTGATCATTGTTTTATTCATCTGCCATTTATTTTATAGTGGTATTTTCAAAGATTCCTGTGTTGGAATTAGATATTCAGAACTTACCTAATCCTATTTTCATGCCAGCTAGTCTGAGGAAACAATGGGAGCCGGAGGCCGTGTTGCTTCTGCACCTAGAGAAATATCTGGAGAGCAACAGAAGCCTCTCTCAAGGTCTCCATACTCAAAACCACCCTTCACAGTTGGGGAACTCAAGAAAGCCATTCCTCCACATTGCTTTGAGCGTTCCCTCTTCTGCTCATTCTCCTATGTTGCTCGTGACTTTTTCTTGGCCTTTAGTCTCTATACTGCCACTACTTACTTCCATCTCCTTCCCCACCCAATTCCCTACTTTCTCTGGCCCATCTATTGGGCTCTCCAAGGTTGCATTCTCACCGGTGTGTGGGTGATTGCCCATGAGTGTGGCCACCATGCCTTCAGTGACTACCAATGGCTTGATGATTTGGTAGGTCTAACCCTCCATTCTGCACTTCTAGTCCCATACTTCTCATGGAAGATCAGCCATCGCCGCCATCACTCCAACACAGCATCCCTCGAACGTGATGAAGTGTTTGTCCCGAAACCCAAGTCCAAAATGGCATGGTGCAGCAAATACCTAAACAACCCACTGGGAAGGGCTCTCACTCTCCTCATTACACTCACCCTTGGGTGGCCTTTGTACTTGGCCTTCAATGTTTCTGGCAGACACTATGATCGTTTCGCAAGCCACTACAATCCATACGCCCCCATCTATTCTAACCGTGAGAGGCTGCTAATATACCTGTCTGATGCTTGTGTGTTTGGCGCAACCTACGTGCTCTATCACATAGCAAGTGTGAAAGGAGTGGGTTGGCTTTTCTGTGTTTATGGGGTGCCATTGCTGATTGTGAACAGCTTCCTGGTGACAATCACTTATTTGCAGCACACTCACTGTGCATTGCCACACTATGATTCATCTGAATGGGACTGGCTGAGAGGAGCATTGGCGACGGTGGATAGAGACTATGGCATCCTGAACAAGGTGTTTCATCACATAACAGACACTCATGTGACCCATCATCTCTTCTCCACAATGCCTCACTACCATGCAATGGAAGCAACTAAAGCGGTGAAGCCTCTTCTTGGAGAGTACTACCAGTTTGACGGGACTCCGTTTTACAAGGCCTTGTGGAGGGAAGCAGGAGAGTGCATCTATGTGGAGCCAGACGAACATCAGAAGGGTGTTTATTGGTACCGGAGCAATTTTTGATGGGAAGGTATCCGTAGACTATGATTTTGTCTGTATGAGTTTATCCAAGAATAAAACAGCAATGAGATCCTTTCTCAGCCTTGTTGGATGTTACGATGAAGTAAATGCATGGTATGGCTAAGAATCAAGTGCTTTCTCTTTCTTTTTCCTTGCCCCCCTTTCATCTCCTTTGGGCAATGTTAATAAAGCAAGAGGACAATAAGAAATACCAGTGGCTTTGGTGCGTGATGAACTGCCATCTATCCTAATAATCATCTATGGGAAGTTAAAGATTTATGATTACACTCAATTGTCATTACTTGCTATTTGAAACAAAAACTACTACTTTCAATTGTGAGAAGGATGTGTCATGAGCGATTCAATTGGTTGGGAAAGATTGTGGAGGCCACCTTTTATTGGGATTAGCATGGCTAAACATGCGTTGCCAGTTCGATCCTAGTTCTTCATAATCAGCTGAATCCGAGTTTAACTATTTAATTCAATCATAGTCTACATATATCCGTTGTCTCAGGCTAGTCCGAAGGCATTCAAAAACTCCCCCCTATCATGCAACATTCCCGCATGTTCCTTCTGGTTCTGCATTATAAGACACTTTTTGAAATATCATGATTAAAAAGAAAAAGAAATTTTGAATTATTTAAGATATAATTAATAAGATTTTTTAAATTCTTTTAATTGGGAAATATGATTAATAAAGTTTCTAATTGAGACAATTTATTAGATAATGATCAATATGAAAAGTACTATGTAATCCTTAATTAAAGAAACATCATTTTTACATATTACTGTAGTAAACATCTTTATAGTCAAAAGATATAAATACCAACTTTTTCAAGTGTTGGACATTTAAAAATATTTTTTTTTTAGTTTTGCAAAATTTTAAATTCCTTACAAGTGACCTGTCTAAAATTAAAGTTATTATAACTTGCTCCTTAAAATGAGACAAGATGGCTTCAATTCGACATGCAAAGGAAAGCTTGAAAGGTTTGAATTGATATTTTCAATAAAGTCAAATTATTGTAATGATTGGATCACAAAATAAAAATTAAAAAAACAATTTTTGTTCGCTTGTATCCCATAAAATATCTTATCTGAATCTCTAATCATTTTTTCCATTAAAATTAAGGTAAAGTAGCAAATTTAATTACAAACTATTTTTCTAGGAGCATTTGATAGTCTAAACTATTAGATGGTGTAAAATAAATTACGAACTTTCAAAAATGGAGCATTTAGTAACACACCATTAACTTCAGCTAATGGACGTTATGTGAGACTTACAATGACACATGGCACGACACATCAGCAAGGTAAAGGTGTAAATTTAACCGCGAACTATTTTTGAGAAGTTAATATAAAAAAATAGACCATCCAACACCTTCCCCTCAATTTTAACCAAATATTATTTATTTTTATATTTATGAAACTCACAAAGCATTAATCTCTCCAATCTTCTTGTATTCGATCTCAATATAAGCTCCAGAAAAAGAGGTTCAATGAGTTCTTATCTAAAGACATTCACAAGAATGATGCCAATAAAATAAAAGCTTAATTTTACTATGCATGTAAAAAGCTTGATTATAACTTAATTTATTCATGAATTATTTCTTCTACTTTGTCAGCATCGTCTTCATGAATATTTTTAGATAAAAACTTTTTAAATCTCTTCTTCTCGAATTGAGATTGAAAACGAAGGCAAGAAGATGGAGAGACTAATGCTTTATGGGCTTCATAAGTACAAAAATAAATAATGTTTGGTCAAAATTGAAGGGAAGGTGTTGGATGATTCATTTTTTTTTATAGTAGAGAATATTCAATGCTTCTCAGAAAATAATTCATAGCTAAATTTATACTTTTATCATGCTGACATGTCATGCTACGTGTCATTATGAACCCCACATAACGTCTGTTAACTGAAATTAATGACGGGCTATTAAATACTCTATTTTTAAAAATTTATAATTTGTTTTGCACCATCTGATAATTTAAACTATCATATGCTCTTGGAAAAATAATTTGGAGCCAAATTTGCACATTTACCCTTCAAATTAAACCCTCACATCTCCGAGCAAATTGTAGTCACTAACCAAATCAATTGGCACAAGTGTCCAAATAAACCATTAATAATCCAAAAGTGCTCACAAATTTTGAACTTTTCAAACTCACCAAACCACACCATAGAGCTCTCACCTACTCTGATTGCACAATTCAGACACTTTTACTTAAAAGGAAAAAAAAACAGCTTTAAATAACCTGAAATGAAATGGCAGAGAAAAAGTTGAAATATCAGTCATTCATAAGAGTTACATATAAAACAGTTCGAGATTTCCGCAGCGTACTTGCGCTGCTGAAAAAGGTGGATAGTAGTAGACAGTCACAGAAGCTGAGTTCAGTGATAAATAAGTTTCTTCAAAATCAAATGAATTTGAAGAATGAAAAGTTGCAACAATTACAACAGTATCTGGGGCTAGAGAAGAAATCAGATCCAACCCAACAGACAATTGAATCAGAATCATGTATAGGAATTCTTTGTTTTCAGCAAAGATTGGCTGTAAGAAGCATCAGTGATGTGGCTTTGCCCCAAGAATAAAGGCAGGCCCGCCTCTCGTCTCCTTCACATAGGAGACATACTCACTGTAGTTCATGGTAAATAAAGTGCTTTGGTAACGAGTCAGCTGTAAACGCTTCCTGAGTGACTCGGTAATTTGGCCATTGTAGCCTGCTTTGCGGACCAAAGAGTCAATGGCCTCTGTTTTTGTCCAACCTATAACCAAAGTATGCAGACACAGATCGTCGGATTTTCACCCATATTTCACTATATATCAACCAGTTAGAGGCATAAGAAAACCATGTCAAAGAGGAAAAATAGAATGAAAAAAGTAATTGTGTGGACAGGAATGTCAATAATAAATATTATACATATCGTCTTCTGCGTGATAAAAAGGACATCCATTTCCAGTGATGGATATCACCAACAGATGATCTCATAATGCTCTCTGCCATTTCGTTACACAACTCCATAAATTTTTGCTGACAAAATTTCCATGGTCAGTGATTACAGGAAAGCCATTGCAGTTGTAAGAAAAAATACTCATTTTTCAGTCATAGTTTTTTCAAGGACCAGATTTCTTTTCTTTTTTTAACTCGTTTAGAACCTCCCCATAAGCAAGCAAAGAACTAAGAGGAAACTTCTTCATGTTACCTGTTCAAATTATAAAAAACTGAATACTTGTTGGAAAAAGTATGCGGAAAAAGTATTGTGCGCGAAATTTATGAATATTAGTGTATTTAGAAAGATGTGATTGACAATTTTTAGCAAATTCCAGTAAATAGGAGGAAGTTTAAAGGTTATGCAAATTTTTATGGATAGGTTAAGAGTTGTGCTTTTGTAAAAGTGGAGTTGTCAGAGTGAAGTTATAGAAGTTGTGTTTCACCTTTGAGAATCTCCTTCATTTCATCAGCAATATTCCACCCTAGTTTAAATTTATATCTAATACTCCCTCCATTTCTTTTCATCAATCTTTCAAAGTTACAAACCGATTAAGAAATGCAATGAATACATATTATGATTCCTTTTAGATTTTCTAGTATCCTCTTAATTTATTTTAGTCATTAATGATGCCTTGAACTTCTAAAGTTAATAAAGAGACGGGTGTAATTGAAAAAATAGTAATATTATTGGACTTTTAAAGAGACAGATAAATAGAAACAAAAATTTTCTTGAAAGAAAAGGAAAAAGAAAAAAGAAAAAAGAAAAAAAGAAAAAAAGAAAAAAGAACAGAGGGAGTAGTAAACATAATCTAAGCTACCTTCATGGGCAGCTACTTCAGGCAGGTAAGTGGCACTTCGCCTTGTATGATGGTCAGGATCAATAAACTCAATAATTATACCATGCTTTCCTACCTGCAAGAAAAATAGTAGAATGAAATCTAAAGTGCAAAAAGAAAAACGAACACAAAACCAAGAAATAAGCAAATATTTTGCATTCATTGCACATTGCCTGGTCCCTTAATGTTTTCTGTACTTGAAATACTCAACCTCATCCACAATATTACATAAAACAACTGTATAATGAACTGTCAGCACAGCCACTGAGGATTAAAAAAAAAAAAAATCATCACAAGCCTATCATTAGTAAGCAGAAACTCAGACATCAAATATGTAGAATGTGCAAACAATGTAGCAATCAAAGTTACTCCCTGGTTGTCTTCTTTAGGTTAATCCTAAAAGAAAATAAAAGACGGGGGGGGGGGGTTTCCATACTGAGCATATTTGTGAAGCAAAGAAATATTAGCAAAAAAGAAAAAATCTTTATCAGCACAAAAATCTCCTTTGGCCTCAGAGTTCCAACTTAGATGCTTTATAACCCCAATTTCCTCTCTCCAATCAAGAAACAATTTTTATGCTTCAGCCACTTTAAATCAAGTTTCATATCATATATAATACGATCCTAAATAAAACAAAACATAATCACTTATCGATCTTAGGTTTGTTAATGTTGCGTTATGCTAGAGTTTGGAAACTCATATACGATAAAATGGAAACTCAAGGCCATAAATAAGCATGAATCGATTACATCATATGTTAATTTCATTGGTTAATTTTTCTGTTGTGAGATTTAGATGTCAAAGGATCAAAGGACAAAGACGTCAAAGTATGCTTATCAGCTTTGCAGTCGATCTTTTTCAAAACAATAAAACAAACCATTCCTTCTCTGTAACGGGCATCTATAATGAGAACCACTATCTCAAAATTCAGTAACATGCAGCGTTACCAACAAAAAAAAAAAAAATCAGACCAAACATTGAACTGAGAACAATGCAGGATCACCGTTGGACAGCTCAACTAATGGACATTATTTTTACATTCTTTCTAAAAGGTCTGCATAAAACAAATAAATCAGCACATACCTCCCAATCAAGGTAGTGGTCAGCAGCTTCATAATCAGTAAGAATAGATACTGTACACTCCAAATAAGGCAATTCCTTAGCCTGTATGGGTGGAAATCTGCGATCCTTGAGAGCACTGTGAAATATTTCAAAGAACAAAAATGAAGGAGTATTTAAAGATTAATGGTCAACCAATTGCAGGACAAGGAAATAAAGCGAGTCCTTCAATTTTTTCTTCTAAAAATCAGCATATTCATGAGCTATTGAAATAAATAGGTCCCAAGGTTCTGATAATATTTATAACATAATTTAAGAATCAAAACCTTGTATATTTTCTGTAAACTTTTCTGTCAGATAACTGAAATTGATTTTACAAATGATGCACACA